TATTATTCTTGGTTTTATTCTCTTATTAATTATGATATTTTATTTTGGGGGAGGGACTAGAAATGCCCGGTAATCTCTGTACAGAATACTGTCGTGCAATCAAAAGTCAAAATTATTGCTGGTTTTCAATTGATGGATCAACATAATTTTGATGATAACCATCAATAATTCCATCGTGAACCATTATATTTTCTGATGGTAACCAACATGAGTAACCATCACCCCCATGTAAGAATTCGGACTGATGGTCAAACATAAGAGTAACAACTTGTTGTGATGGTTTGTTCATGTTAAATCATCAGAAATTTCAAAAGTCTTCCACGAAAGCAAAATTTCTTCCAATGCTTGATCCTAAAGTTCCCTTGTCTTCTGGATGAGGATCAAAACTACAAGGCTACGGAGTTGAAATATTGGTAGTCGTGAACTCAAAATTAGGTCGGCTGTTCAACGGCGGTTATGAAAGAAAAATAAAATAAAATGAAAAGTTTCGCCAATTAAAAGAAAATATTTTCATATCTAATTACAATTCACTTAATTGTAGAGAAGCAAGTTAGAAAAAAAAAGATGCTTTTTAATTTGCCTACATAAAAACAGGACGGAAGTAAAAATACAGGATGCTACTTAAAGACAGGAAAAAGGATTTAATGATGAAAAAGTAAACTTTCAATTTTGCATTTTAATTGCCACTTTAGACTAATGTTATTCGTCGCTTTCAATAGTTATTCTAAGATAATTAAAACTTAATAGTTTTTAATAAAAGTATTTTTTAATGACTAGAATACACATTATAACTGGCCGGAAAATCAATTTCTTAAAGTTGCGCTTCCTGTTGCAGCATTCTTTTGAAACTATTTGCACTCAACGAGTTTAACTTATGTTACTAGTATTTAAAGGTGAAAAACTACGCTTCTTTCATTTTATTGGTGTTAAAATGGGTCCCACGTGGCGACTAAAAACAATAAAGTTAGCGGGCAACAACAAAAGTTAGAAAGAGGCTATAAATAAAAGTTTGTTGCATGTAACAAAACAAAAAAATATCATATTGTTTCAATTTAAATACTGATTTTAACCATTAAAACTTTATGTTAAAAATTGATTTTAACTATTGGCTTTAAAAAATTCTTTTTAGTGCTATATATTGTTTTGACGATATAAGTTGTAATCAAATCATACGTTTTGTATTAAGTGTACAGTTTTCAAAAAAATAAATGGACCACTCTGAATAACTATTTATCCTCATGATCGGATTTTCACGTTCTAGGATTCAATCTTAAGGGTTCGAGGGGATGACCTCTAATATGCAGATGTGAAGACGATATTTTAAGTTACGGAATCAGACACGCAAACGTACTTTCTCTAAATAATTCCTTTTTTTTTTAGCGGATTGTGTTTTCTGTCCCTTAAAACATTAAGGCCAGCCGCTTTCTGGGAAAATAATGGTTCTAATAGTTTGATCAGGAAAGCATTCCAAATTTTGGGCCATTTAATGTTAATTTTACTTTTTGCGTATTTCGCCATTTACTTCTGAATCAAATTTAAAAAATTTTGTACACAATTATAAAATTCGTTTATCCAAAGATATTATAAAAATAACTTTTAGTAAAGATTTATTATTTTGCTTAATAATAGGTGAAAATTTTTTGAATTATAAGGTGTACAGTTTGCTTGGAATAGTGAAGTTTTACTAGGAAAAATAAAATATTTGAATTAAAGTCGTCAAAAAGTTTCTCAGAAATCGAATTTTAACAATACGAATTTTTATAACGTGACTTTTTTTACGTTCTTTAAAATAATGTAAAAAATTGTATACCCAACAATTCAAAATTTTTCGACTATTTTTAGATAAAGTAATAAAAAATAATTAATATTTGCTAAAAGTTTTTTTTTTTTTATATGAAATTATCATTGGATGTGCAAAAAAGTTTCAATTAGCTTCAAAAGTTCTCGAGATATGATGAAATACGACAAAAGTAAAAATTAACATTATAGGGCCTTAACTTTGAATCGCTCTCCTGATCGTCCCGCAGTGGGCTGATCGTTAAAACACGGTTCCCAGCAGATCACCGAAATCAAGCATCACTGGCTGCGGTCAGTGTGCGGGTGGGTGACCACTTGGATCAGTCTGCGTAGGGATCGAGGGTGTGCGGTATTGGTCCTCGTTAAACTATTCTACCGTAAAGTGCTTGACTTCGCGCGCAGGTAGTTGGGCTACCGAAGCAGGAGTGCCATCCCCTCTGCAGAGGATAAAAATTGTGATGGCTTGTCTTCGGATCATCCCCAGGGATGTTTCCCAGACCGTCAACAATAGCCCATTGTGCAGCTCTAATGCGACGTAAATTAACTACAACAACAACAACGCCCACCTGATCAATGTATGATCAAATATGGTCCCAATAGTTTGGTCACAGTTATAAAAAATATATGGACTATGGGAGCCATATTTCCTATTTTGGGTGTCAGAAATCTGAGTCCGTTGAAAAAATTAAATTTTTTTTTCAGAGGAAGTAATTCTTGTGTCTGATTTCGTAACTTAAAATATCGTCTGCTGTAATTAATTTGCATTTTTTAGATCATTCTTTTAACCCATACGATTGACTTCTAGAACGTGAAGATCCGATCATTAGATTAAAAGTTATTCAGGGCTTTGCTCATGGTTATCATCACGCTATTTTTAAAAATAATCTTTCCATTTTTTTTAAACTGCTTATTTTTAAGTAATTGGTATACGAAATAGGGCAATTTTAAACAGTTAGTCCAAAAAAAATTTGACCTATATTTGGGGGTTTGTACTACCCTTAAAAAACCTTAGAAAATGGTAGCAGCACTATGAAAATATCTAAATAAGTTCGCGTAATCTCTCATCGATACACTTATTAATTACAAATTAATATACGTAGTTGTGAAATTTTTAAATTTAACAATAGTATTTTTAAAGTAATTGTAACTTAAAGTAAAAGATAATTACAAAAAATTAACTTTTAATTACACACTACATTTTCTTACCTATTAAATTACATACCCACGTTTTTTACCCTGCCTTTTTTTTTACTGACAAACCTGTTAGTCTGATAATTCTTCTATTTCCGTTTTCTGTCATGATGCAAGCTCTGTTTCCCCACGTTAAATCTACCATAATATTTTTCACAGAAAACACTCCTGTATTAGATTTCAAAACTGATTCTCTATTCACAACATTAGGGATTTGGTGACATTTTTCCCTTCCATTAAAATTTTTCCCCCTCTCTTTACCATAGAACACAACGAAACAAAAGTTTATAGTCAAGGACACACCATGCTGTTATCAATCACAGGGCGACTTGAGTCGAAAAAAATAGGTAGGCGTTAGTGTACGATCCTTGGCATAGCTATCAAATTTCGCTCAGGCTATTTCTTTACCTTTTTCTTTTCCTGAACATTTACAGATATATTCTTTAGTAGATCAATAAAATTTTGGAAGGGAAAAAACCCCCCGAATTTTTTGGAATTAGAGTTGATAAAAAGTGGCAATGAAAAACAAACCTGGAAAACTGGAATTTATGGGAAGGAAAAGAATCGCTGAACAGCTGGGGTACGGGTAAAAACCAGTTTTCCGCATCAGTAAATCGTCCCGAAAGCGTGAAGTGCCTTTTTTATTTTATTTTTATTGCTTTTATTTGTCCCGTTTTTGTTCAATATATAGAAATTAAACTGCACTTAGTGGTAGATTTGTGTGAACTTCTTCATTGCACTTTTTATTATTATAAATTCTTAGATTTTGCTTTTCTTGCATAGTGTGAGTATTTATTTTATAAAAATGTTTATAGAACAAAAGAAAGATAAAAGAATGCTAGGTGTTTTGTAAGTATTTGTTTATATCAAAGAAATAATTACTCAAAACCGAAATAGTTTTTTTTCTTCATTTTCAGCAAAACAACATAGGTTGGAATATTTAATCACAAATGGCAATAGCATGCAAACTAAAACTGCAATAATTGCGGATTTTTGCTGCATTCTAGAATTTTTTTTAATGGTTGCATTAAATAAGCGATATTGTATAAATTTGTGTTTTTAATGTTTAACGTTGTTTTTTCTAAGCTCTGTCTCCAAGGAAGATTTTAAAAAAAGCCATAGTTTAAGTGCCTTACACTTAAAGAAATGCTATAATTTTAAACTATATATATAATCTTGCCGTGAAGAATTATCTGGGAATATTTAGAACAGACAAGTAACTTAAATATTCTAACAGTTAATAAACTTTTTCAAAATTCGCCGATTTGGCTACATTTTTCCAGTTAGATGAAAATTATTAAAATCACTGCCTTATTCTCAGTTTTTGCAAATTTTTGTAAGTACAAGTAATGCAACATTGGAGTAATTTTTTTAATGATAAAATATATGACCACAAACGCTTTTCATTTTCGTAAAACTGTGGTTTTCTCCATATTGACGTTTTGCGCCATTTTCAAAGTAAGCGTAGAGAGGCTAAACTTGACTTAACAGTCATGAGTAACAGTTGCAAACTCGCAGCAGTAACAATCTAAAAAAAAGTCTTAAGAAAACTGCTTTAAATTCCGTATTTTAAAACAATTTAGATTGCATTGTTATAAAATAGTTAAATATATAAACTTAGCATGAGTAAATGATTAAATATATATTGTTTTAACACATTATATTGAAGCAATGATAAAAACATTTTAGATACCATTCATTATTAGAATTTGGAATTTCTTTTTACTTTTGAATCTTATTTACATTGCTTTTTCTCCACTTTTTTTAGTTGTTAATTGAATTAGAAGCATTACTTCTATTTTGTGTGAATGAAAAAATTAAATACACCCATAAAATTTTTTTTCACTTTTTTAATATGTATAAATAAGAAAATATGTTATTTACAGAGTTTTCTATTTTGTATTTTACAGCATTTTAATAGTAAAGACTATTACATATTTCTTTATGGTATTTATTATTTGATGTACATTTTAAGTTATGTGATGAAATTTTTTATTCAATAACATTGTAATCTTTGTACCTTTCCAGTATGGGACTTTAAAAGATATTAGAATTGTAACATATCGTAATGGTCACTCCAAAGGACTAGCATATGTTGAATTCCAAGACGAGGTGAGATTTCAGTTTATATGGAAGTTAAACCTTTTTATTTCTTATTTATCAGTCAACCACATAATTAAATAAAATATTCATTTAAAAAAATGCTGCTCCATTGCCAAGACATCTGGCATTTTAAATATAGTTTCAAGATTTCTTTTCCTCGCTATAAATATAATTTTTAACTTGTATTGTAGAATTTTTTTTAAGAAATTGGCTGCCTATTTTGTGTGGTGGGTAGAGTCTTTGCTTACATTTATTTTAACACTTTTAATAAAAGTATTCTTTTAAAATTTGGTTTAAATTAATTAACATTTTAATAATAAAATGTTTAGATTATTTCATAGAAATTTCTATTAATTTTTTTATTATTATGTTATTTTTCTATTGTTTGCTTTTTATTGAGAATTTGTTTTATTTATTGTTGTTCGAATGTTTTTTTTTTTACATATGAAATATCTTTAAACTCTCTAATTTATTTACTAATTAATTTTTTCAAAACTATGGAACATGTAGTACTGTAATTTAAAATTTCAAATCCACAAAAAATATAATGCCTTGAATTTGTAAGTCAGCATTTTTAAAACACGTTTTCAAGTAAACCCTGATCTCACTATCTCTAGACACTTTTTTATTTATTAAATTTTGTTTGTATAACCATTTTCTCTTTTTCTGCATGAGACCTAGTTAGTAATCTTATTTGATTTTATTACTTTGAAAACATACTGTCATTAAATTTGGTGCTAAACAGCTCTTTGTAGTCTGCATATTATATTGCACATTCACTCAACCGTCTCTTTGAATTCTCATCTTTTTTATTTATACTCAGCTATTTGGAGCCTGTAATTGAAGATCTTAAAATGATTTTTTTATAAAAAAAAGAGAATAATATCAATAAACAAATTAGTATTGCATGCCCCGTTAGAAAATGAACTGCAAATGTTTGCTCTTCCAAAAATGCGCTTTTGGTCAAGTTTATGGATTGTTAGAATCTCCAATCATGGTACTTTTAAACTAGATCACGTGACTTATGTGCTCCATTTATAGTGTTGCATTGGTCAAAGCATCAAATAAATAAATAAATATTAAAATGAAACAAAATAAATAAATAAGTTCAGTGCATATTACTAAATAATATCAAATTTTAGTTTTATTTAAGTTTGAAATATTATAAATGTCAAAAAAAAAAAAAGTTACGTTTAAGTGCAGATTATTTTTCATCTAAGTTATATTTTTCTTCTTAAAAAGAGAACAAAACAGAGAGAAAAAACCTGAGATTCCATTTTGAAACATTTCTGGGATTTGTTTTTAATTCAAATTGAAACGCTGAATTCAGAGAACATCACAAACAGAAAGTAAAGTTTTGTTTTTCTGTTACTCGATTATAGGCTTAACTGTGTAGGGATTTATTTCTATTTTTATTTCATTGTCAAGTTCAACTTAAATTTAAACAATATAAAGTCTTTATGTATAATTTTTAAGGATACAGCTATCCTAAAATGCAAAAGAAGTCTTAGAATGTTAAAAAAAAAGCTCTAAAATGAAAAAAATGTTTTAAAAGTTCAAAGTACAAAAATACAAAAAGAAAATCAACAAAATTTGGACCTTATTGATTACCTTATCTGATTTTATTTTCTTCTTTTTTATTCCTTTTGCAATCATGGTCTGATTTTTACAAAATGTTAAACATTATTATTTAAGTAATAATTATTTTTTTTAAAAATGATTCTTTGTTGTTTAATGGTTTTTTCTACAGTGAATTCTGAAATTGTTATGCTTTCAGGCTGCAGCTGCAAATGCAGTGGTTAAGACTGATGGTATTCAGATATTGGATAATGTGATATCCGTAGCTATTAGTAATCCTCCCCCAAGAAAGCAGCAAAGGGACTTTCCAGTAGCTTCTATTTCTGAATCTCTTGGAGGAGGTGGGGGACAAACAAAAGGACCGTAAGTCTGCTTTATACCTCACAAAATTAAACAACAATGGAACAACTTTTTAACTTTTGATATAATCAAAAGTTATTCAAGCTATTCAAAATATATCAATTTATATTATTGATTCTCATACTATGGGGCAACTGCAATCTGAAAACATGGTCCTAACTCCTAACAGTTGATAAAGAGAATGTGCAAAAGCTTGCATCTTTTAATATTAATTTAACTTTTTCCCTATTTTGCCATATCATTGGAACTATTTAAAATTTTAAATTTTTTTAAACTCAATTATGAAATTTTTTATTNAGATTTCCCATAGTTAATTTCTGAACATATGCTAAATCGAGATGTCTAACGGACGATGTATCACGATTTAAAATTTCTATCATCAACCAGTCCTAATCATAGTATTTGACAATTAAGCTGCAATTTTAATTATTTGGCTACTGTTTTTGATAAATTTTTGCTTGAGGCTACTAAAAGCAACTATTTTTGTTCATTTTTTACTGTGGCAACCCTGTAATGTTAATCTTCTGCAAAAAATGTGATAAATAAAGGTCTTGCTCTCATTTGCTGCATATTAAAAAATTTTCGAAGCAAATATTGTAAACTTTTAAATTTTATTTTAAATAGCTGTTAAATTAATTTTAATAGGGTCTTGAAGTGTTCTGAAAATTGTTAGGAATTTCATTAAAACATTTTGTAGCTTATTAACTGAAGTTCATACATAATATATTTTTGTTAGATATCAGTATGTTGTATATTACATTAGCTAATATGTATCAATGTTTTCACTTATTATCAATATTATACTTTTTAGAGTTCAATTTTAATTCAAGACATCACATGCAGCATGATACGTAAATTAAACGTAAATTTTTGGGAAATTGGTGAAGTAAATACGCTTTCTATGTAAATTTTACCTAATAATGACGAAATATTATTACCATTGAGATATTTGGTAATATTATTCATTAGTGATCATTGGTAATATCATATATATTTGGTAAAAAAGCTTTGGTATATTTTACGTAATATTAACAAAATGAATTTTATCTACTACACTTCTGTAAGATTGCTTTCATATATTTTAGGAAAGATTGTCAAAAGAATATTTATTATTTAGATTTAGTAAAAATGATTCTGTGTATTTTACGTTTTATTGACAAAGCAAATTTACCATTTAAATTTCTGTTTGAATTTATTTATGCTAATTTTCTGTTTTTTGGCTAATCACTTTTTTCTATAATTTGACATTTCAACTTATGTACATTTTGATGTACTGTTGATATAAATTATATGTAAAGAAAAGTTACTTCCTGACTAGTAAAAAGTGGTGGTTAAAATATTCTTGAAATATAATAATTTTTTTACTGAAAAGTTTACCTAAATTTTCCGTTTTTTGGATAACTATTTTATGTTATAATGTGATGTTTAATTAAACATCACATTATAACATAAATCTACGTAAATTTTAACGTATTATTGACATAAATATTATGTAAAAATAACGTCTTTTTACTAGGTAAGAATACCTACTAAAAGTGGTTGGTAAAATATTCGTAAAAAAAATTAATTTGCTTTCCTAAAATGTTATGTAACTTTTACATTTTTTGGATAACCATTTTTTGGTATAAATCAATGTTTCAGTCTTATGTAAATTTTAAGAATTCTTAGTAAAATTTAACGGTGAAATATACATATTTTTGACAAAAAATTGAGGGTTCTCTGACACCTGAGATATCTTACAAAAAATGAAAGGAAATGACTAATTGTGAAAATGTTTAAACTGTTGAAAGTATTCATATTTATTGTATCATTGTTATCTTATAAAATTTTTATAATATTCCTTTGTTCGCCACTAATTTTTAAAAATATTTTTGTGATAGTCTCTTCATCAAAATTATTTTATATATTTTGCAACTAAGCCTGTGAGTAATAAACATGTGCTAAAATTTTCTGTGCTCTCTTCATATACTGTAATTGTTAAAAATTATAAATTAAAAGTTATAAATAAGCAAAAAACAAAAATAAATTGTTTGACACAGGGCTTAGGTGAGATTTACATTTCAGATATGAATTAATGTATAAACTAAAATACTTTAAAGAAGTAACTTTTGCATTTAGATTAATTAATATGGAATTTACTGAAAATTGGGTATTTCTTTCTTAGATTATCTATCAATTTCACCATTTACGAATGTTGTACTAGCAGATTTTAAAAGCATATAATTCAGTTAAAAAAGTTCAAGTAGATCTGATAATGTTTGCAAAAATAGATCTTGGTATCATTGACACTTACTTAAATTTTTAAGTACTCTTAAAAATTTAATTGCAAATTAAAAACTGGTTGTTACTGACGCTACATATCATGTCTGTACCATCCAGGTTTTAATTTGTAAAAGTTTTTTAAACTTATGAAAGTTACTAAAAATTGGTGTAAGTGTAAATGAGGCCAAGACTTATTTTCTCATAATATGTAAGATTTTTTAACTGATTGCTTGATTTTTATTTTACTTGAGTTACATGCTTTTAAAGTCAGTAAATATGATATTATTAAGTAGTGGAATTACCCTGTTGTAAATTAGAGTGAAAAATATTTAATTATGCGAAATTATAGATTTGGATGTGTTGTTAAGATTGACATATTATTTTGATTTTAGAAGAGGAAGAGGTCGAACCCAGTTAGCTCTTGTACCGCGAGCTGTCGCTCGTCAACCACTCAATAGGAAATCCTCTCTTCCTTCCATACAAAATGGCCAAAACTCTAGTTCAAGCTCTTCAGAAGAAGAAAGAAAACCCCTTAGCAACAGTGACTTTGCAAAGATGCTGCAAAAATAAATATATTTTTTGTTGCACTAATGACTTTTATGATGTTTGTGATGAAAGTTACTAAAAACTACAAATTTATTAAAAAAATAAATTTTGTCGAAGAACTGTATCCAGTGGATGGGATCTTTTGTTGTTTTAGGTGCTGTTCATTTTATTTATGATTATTTAAGAATCATAAAACTTTCTCGTTTGTAAATGCGTTCATTTAATTCATAATTTCAATGTTCATGTATGCAAAAATAAATTTTTTTTTTTCTTTCTTTGCACCAATGACTTTTATGATGCTTCTGATCTTACTATAAACTACAAATTCATTTTAAAAATAAATTTTGCTGAAGAACTGTATCCAGTGGATGGTAATTTTTGTTGTTTTAGGTGCTGCTCATTTTATTTATGATTATTTAAGAATCATAAAACTTTCTCGTTTGTGAAGGCGTTCATTTAATTTATAATTTCAATGTTCAACTCACATTTGCTTGAAAACGTGATGTAATCTTCGGTGTAAGTCTCGTTTTCTTTGTTTGGATATTATGTATATTATATATTAAAGTTTATTGGTGCGGTGGAACTTTGATTCTCTAACACCTCATCATGTGACTTTTGATCATTAACAGCTAACAAGTTACCAACATTTCACGATTATAACACGTATTGTTACTCAGTTATTGTTGTTTTTATATGCCATTTGCTGTGCCAGTGAACTCCAAATTAAATTCAATTATGGCTGTGATGTCAAATGTAAAATCTGGTTTCTAGAAAATAACAAATAAAAAATTAAAATGTATCAGTTTTTTCATAATATTGTTATTTTTTAGTTTTGAAAAATAAAAATACTAGTGTTTTTTTAAAATTTTATTATGGTTGTTAATTATACTGAGTTATTTTATTCATGGTTTTATATTTATGTAGCAAAAAAATTATCTAAAAAAAGTTCCCCAATTATCCGACAATTTCAATTTTCCAACTCTGACTCTGGTCCCGTGTGTGTCAGATAATCAGTGTTCTACTGTATGTTTATTGTATATTGTACTTATCCAATATAAGTATTTGAATACACATTCCTTGTATTACATTATGTATGGATATTTGGAAAACAAGGAATTATTGTATATTAAATACGGATAGGCATACATTGTGGGTTGATTGAAAAATTCGAATCTTTGTAAACTTTTCTGACATTCTGCTCTGTGCCCGCATAATAGGATGATATCTGACAGTATTTACGAATACGCTTGATGATCTTTAAGCTTATTACAATTAGCTTAAATGCTTTTAGGCTAATTAAAAAATATGAAAAAAATTAATCAGGTCAAATTTGCTTTAGCTTTATTACATTAAACCTTTAATAAGGCTACTTGCAATAAGTCTTCATTATTTTGGATTTATTGCAAACTGTCTGAAATAAATCAGGCTAATTGATCAAAGATTTATTTATTTTTGAATTAGCCTAAAAATATGTGGTTTCAATAAGCTTGTGGTCTTGCTTATTAGAAAATACTGGAATAATTCCAATTTGCCTGGTATATTGGTAATTGATAACTGCTGTTAGCAAAAAGCCAAATTTTTCAATAACCTATGATATATATGTATTCCAATCAATATATTAAGGGGTCATTCAAATATTACATATGAAAATTTTTGGCAATTTTGGACTACCTTGTCTGCAAACATGAGCCAAATTTCAAAGCTTTCCCATGCTTATGTCAGAAAGTCACAACATCCTCTGGTGTTTACTTTAACTGTAGTATTCTAATTTTAGAATTAAATTCAAATAAAAGGTGTAAAGAAATTTATGTTTTAATTTAGTTTTATGAAATTTTGTGGTGGAATATTCTTTAAAAATAAAATTTGTAGAGCTAGGACTAAAAATTAATGATGATTAAGTAAAAAATGGGCAGAGATATGAATAATACCACAAGAAGAAAAAATTAATGGTGCATTATTAAGCGATTGGTTCAAAAAATGTATGAGGTTAGTTTTTTATTTTTGTTTTGTTTACTGAAAAAAAAAACTTAGGAAAATAAAGAGAAAAGAAATATTTAAAAAAATAAATAATATTAATTAACTATAATATTTATTAATTAATAATGTTAATTAATAATATTAACTAATAAAATAATATTATTAAGAAAAATTAGTTATTGATATGTGGTCTAATCTCACGGAAAGGTACATTTATCAATCGGTAAGCTACAAATTTCTGAAAATTCTGGTAAACAAAGCTAGACTATGTTATTTGGTTTTAAATAAGTTCTAACTTGAAATTTTTTTAGAGTGTAATGTTTTGTTAAATTTTGTATTTTGCATTTGAAAAAAATTTAAAAATGAGATTTTAAAGTGATTTGCAGCCATTACTCAACCCCTTCCCCCCCCCTTGTCATCAAAAATAAGTGAATCACATCTCTGCTTCCCCCCACCCCCATTACTATGCTTACATAATATTTAAATTTTCCCTTATCAGTTAAAACATATTATATTTGTACTCGTTATATGTTGGATGATATACATAATCAAATAATTGTTGGAAATTAATATTTTTCTAAAAATTATTCATTTTTATTGATGACTAAAAAAAGGCATTATTTTTTTTGTAAATACAATCATCGTATTCATAAATTAAATGTTTAACTGACATAAAGTTAAAATGTTTCATTTCAAATTGCTTGAGAATGGCACTTCATTTCACAGGTTTCTGACAAAGTAGTATTATTTGAAGAGCTTAGTAGAATAAACGTTTGAAAGCATTGAAATTTTTCTGGATTGACGATAATTTGTTGTCGGCAGTTTAATTTTGATGTTTTGTACAAAGTTGTTTTTTCAATGTGAACTCTTCATTTATCACGACAAATTAGTTAATAGTTTCTCTACTGCTACCATTCTGATTTCTATTATATGTGTGAAAGAATTATGTCTATGTGTTATGTGTGAAAGAATTATGTTTGTATTTGTCTTTTAAAGAGTTGAATGTAATAAATTGTTCTTCAAATTGTTTATTATGTCACTCTTTAATAATCCACCATGTTTTTAAGTAGGCAATTAACTAAAAAATAATCTACCATCTTAAAAAAATGGCCGGGGTTGTCTGGTTGGAAGGGCGTTGGGCTCATGGTCGAGAGGTCGTAAGTTCGATTCCCGCCGGCCAATGGTACGAAATGGTGACTGGTGCACGCTAAATCCGTCAGGGTCGCAAAGTCCTCCAAATCCCCATAACAAATCGATACCTCTGGGGATACTGGATCAGAGATCGATAGTGCTCTGATTCAGGTCTAAAAATCTGCGCATGGATTGTGCGTGAATGTGCCCTCCCTGTAAAACGGATTGTGACGTTATGTGTGGGGTAGAAGTCAAATTCTTGGCCAAAGATATATCCCACTGGAAAACAGGAAGCGCCCCCCTCTGCTTTAAAAATAGGCTTGTCAGTATTGCATGACAAGTAGCATAAGACAGCAACAACGTGGTTACTGATTCAACTTTTATAATATGGCCCTAAACTTGGAAGCCTGTACCATAGTAATTTAATACAGAAATAATTATAGGAAAGTTATGAATTGATTTTATAATTGAGATTTAGGCCTTTGGTTCTATTTAAAATTAGCTATCACTTTTTCGTATTTGCTTTTTGTGGCTTATAACTTTATTTCAATAAGGTTCTTTAATTATAAATTTTGGTTTAATTAACACACGGTAGAATAAAATTTTTTTGAAATATTTTAATGGATAATAAATTACTCTATATGGGTATAACAATGTCAATGTTAATACAAATTTTTTATTTTTTTGAAATATTTTAATGCATAATAAATATATAGGCATAACAATGTTTACTCTATATATTTATGGTTACAACAATATTAATGAATGGATTCTGAACATTGATGTAAAAAAGGTATTTACTTTTAAATTAAGGAGATATTTCCTTCCTATAACTACCACTAAGTTTTTTTCTTTAAAAAGCAAAAGATTTCTCATCGGAATAAAGAGTTTAATTTCAATGACCCTTTATTTAAGGTCTTTGTGAAATAATTTTTCCAGTGGTAATGAACTAAAGCTGAAATTTTTAAAACTTAATTTTTTAATGTTAATTTGTTTAAACTTAATTATTTTTTTAAATTTTTTGTATGTGCCTTTTTTTAGGGGTAACACACAGCCTTTTAAAAGTTCAGAGGGGGACTCCGGTGCTGAGTTAAATTCACTTGCTAATTCTTTCTCCCGATAGCCTAGTTGGCAGAGCGCTGGACTCACGTTCGTGAAAATGGGAGTTCGAACCCAGACTTCCCGTGTTGCAAATGGTGATTGGTTCACGTTAAATCTGTCGGAACACAAAGTCCTTCATGTTCCCATAACAAATTTTATCTCTGGGGGTACTGAATTGAAACTGGTTACAGATTTGGTTCGGTTCAAAATCACGATTTTTGGATGTATGAATTTGTCAGAAGTCGAATTCTTGGCCATAGATGGCGCCACTGGAAAACAAGAATAACCACACTCCTTGCCTTAATGGCCTACGACAACAACAACAATTCCATCTCCTCTGCTTAAAAATAAAAGCAAAAAAAAACATTGAAATGCTTTGTTTTGCTAAGCCGCTATTGGGTTTTGCTCAGCCGCGCTGGGTCAAACGGTCGGGTCGTAGTTTTTAATGCATTTTCAGTCTTAAAACTTGAATTAGTAGTTACATATTTGAATCCGAACCTTCATAAAAAATAGCATTTGGAACTTGCTATCAATCTAACGAGTCAATAGGCTAAGTTATTGTTAAACTTGAAAGAAAAATAAAACAAGAGCTCCAAAAAATACTAGAAGATTTTCATAATTGATAATCCTTCGTGTTCTTGAGAAGAAGGTTAACTCTCCTGTTATTGACTATCGAAATAGGCTACAGGTGGCGTGGCGTAGAGCAGAACTCTCTACCTATCGCAACTCTTCGCATGTTTTCACCGTTAGCTGCTGGAGAGTCATAGGAGAAGGGAGTTCACCAGTTTCTCTCTTGATTTTTAAATAGAATAAAAACTTCTTAAGTTAGGCAACTATTTGGAACTGCAAACTTCATTAAACATAGTTCTGAAAGAAGGCGTCGTGGAAAATTTAAAAAATATTTGGGACAATTAAATACCAAAAATATTAAGAAAGGGGAAAATATCGTAGTACATTCTTATATACAACCAAGAAGAGGAGGAGAGAGAAAGGGGGAGGGTTATGATATGGAACCGGTCTTCTTCCCAGACGGGGTAAGCGAATATGTGACTACACTAACTTTTCTGGCTTTTAAAATGTTGTAACTATAAATGTTAATGTATAACATACTGGTATATATGAAATACCTGATAAAAATTGTAACTGTCCATTATGTACAGACTAGGCGATTAATAGAAATATTTTTAACCCTATGCCATTAATTTATGAATATTTCGAAATTTGTAAACCGAATGGATGGTTGACCGAATGTAAACAATAACAAGCTTCCTAAAACCGGAAGAAATTTAGAAAACTTCCGGTGTACCCCTCCGCTTATGTTATGCTTACGAGGCGATGTGTGAATAGGCTTAATATTCTAGGAAGTTTTATTATTGTAATTTGCGTTTAAATTTACGCGTCATTTCACCATTCATAAGAGTTTCCCTGGCATTTACAAATTTTAACAGGTTGTGAGCCTAAAACAAATTTAAGAAAATTAATATAAAAACATAAATAAAATTTAAGGTTTGCCATGTTTCGAGTGTTATCCCTTATGTGGCTATAATTGTGCAAAATATCACAGTTTATCACAAAATATCACAGTATCACATTTTTTTGCATTGCATCATAGCATTTGTTGTTTGTTTCGCTGAAATTTAAATTGAAAGAACACGTTATTTTGTAAGCACTACGGTTGTAATAATATTAGATGGGGTGGTTTTTCAAGCTTAGGCTTAAAAATCAACCAGAAGCAGTAACCCGGAAATCTTACGGCGAATTTCAAACCTTAGCGCCACCCGTGCTTAGCTTTATACGGTCAACCATTCATTCGAGGTTGTGATCTGTGCATGTTCTGTATAACGCTTGTTCTGAATGAAGAGGACAAACAAGTCTTTATTAAAACTCCAATGATTTTATTTTAAAATTCATATTTTCTGAAAACATTATAGTACATTATTAGTTCATGAAGATAGGTTTTATTCATTTCTCAAATATACTGTAAGCAGGACTGTATTATATAAAACTAGTTTCATTTTTCTACTTTACAAGCATTATATGTGACTTTATAGCTACTTTTGATTTAATTCTGACTCTCAACTAACTCTTCATACCTTTTATCACAGTTCTTTGATCTTTCAGTTAAATTTATTCTCCATAACGACATTCTCAGATATGTTTCGCCTGTGATGTCCTCTGATGTGTTGATCTTTCCAGATAGTTCACGAGTATGACCTTACTCTTACTCGCTTTTCATTTGCAGAACTTATCACTTAGTAAAAGAGTTGACCTGTTATGTCATTACTCGATTGAGTTTTTTTTATATTTTTAATGTAATACAGTGAAACCTCTCGGGAGTGACCATCTCTCCGTTCCACAGTAAAATGGTCGTGAATGGAGGTGAGTCGTTCTTAGAGATTACCTCCATCGAATTCAAAACTGTTGTCGAAGGTTTTTTTGCAACCGATTTTATTTTTAGTCTGTGTCATTTTCTTGATGCGGAAATACCACTTCTGTAGGCGTTATGAAAAGACAAATCTATGAATTAAAATTAGCGTCTATAAAAATGATCCCTACTGATATAACTATTTGCAAAAGCAAATTTACCAATGATGAATGATAAATCCATTTTAAATAAATAGACAATTATGTTTTTTGTTCAAGTTTGCATTTAATTTCATATCATAAAAATTAGTTAGGTTTCAAAAGTGAGAAGAGGTTTGTTTGAGATGCTTGTTTTTTCTAAAATAACTTTTTTTTTTCTTATTTAACTTTCATCTCTAAAAGTAAATCATTGGCATTCTTTGATGCACTCTGACTGCAACACGAGGTTGTTATCGTCAAAAAGAACTCTCTAAATAAGAGTCTCACACAAATATTTAGAATACATTTTAATCTACTTATTTGTTTCGCTTACTTTTTTTGTTTTATTATTTCGTGTTTCCTTATTTGACCTTTACCGCATTCGGTGCAGATGTTTGTCCGGTCCTTTTAATGGTCTCTCCTGAAGGTTTTCTTCAATACAAAGTCTATGGAAACAAATTCCGTGCCTCCCACAAGTGGTCGTAAATAATTAATTAGTTCGCTACACAGTAGTACAATCGCTACAATAATTAGTTCGCTACATGGAGGTTGTCATTCCTGGAGGTTTCACTGTATTTATTGAATTGGATGTTTGTTTTGCTTATGCATCTCTATGGTGATATGTAATACCTTTTTAATACAGGGAGGGGCAGCGAATCAGACGATTTTAAGTATTATCAGGAGAGAATATGTTTTAAATACAGAAGACGCACACAGCTTAGTTTTCAAACTGAAAAAAAATTCTATATCTTACAAAGACGGCTATTGGATGCCACTATCTCTCATCAGCAAAATCTTTCACCGAATTGTCTGTGATTCTGGCAAAATAAGCACCCGAAGGCATTCGGGTCGGGTCTTAAGAAAACACTATATACCCCGGTAGGAACTTTTCATGTTAAATTATGCTTAATCTCTAATGGTATTTTAGAGTCGCGGTGGCTCAGGGGATAGAGCGTTCGACTCCCAAGGAAGTGAACCAGAAGGTAACCAAGGAGGTTTTTCGAAGCTCTATCGCCAAAGAAAATTTAAAAAAAAAATGCCACAGTTGAAGTGTCTTAAGCTTGAAGCAAGACGATGATTTTACATTATATCTATCATATTGCCGTGAAGAATTATCTGAGCTTTAGAACTGACAAATAACTTAAATATTTTAAAAGTTATTAAACTTGTTTGAAAATCGCCAATTTTTGGCGACATTTTCCCACCTGGATGAACATTATTAAAATAACTACCTTATTCTCAGTTTTTGCAAATTTTTATGAGCCTAGACAATGCAGTATTAGAGTAAAGTTTTAAATATGAAAAAAATTAAATCACAAACGCTTTTTCAACAAAAACTGCGTCTTTTTTCTATATTGAAGTTTTGCTCCATTTTCAGCATAGACAACACTAGCTTTAGATATGCTAAGCTTGTCCTAACAGTCATGAGTAACAGTTGCAAATTCACAGCAGTTATGAAAATTGCATATTATTCCCAAAATAAAGCATAATTTCATATGACGACGAAGCCTTCGACCGTGTATCATTATAATGATATCATTCCATGCCATTAAAACAACCTTTAATGGCATGGAATGATATTATTACAATGAATTTTGAACCCTCTTGAGAATTCATGCTGAATGATCAAGTAACTGTTACCATTTAAAAAAAATGTACCTTAGTGACATGAGCACATCACACCCCTGTCCACCACTCTATCATAATTAAAAAGCCTTTAAAGTTTTCAACAAGATGGCGCTAGCATCAATTTCTCATTGCAGCTAATTCAAAATAAGCGTTGTTCTCAAATCCCCGATTCTCTGCCGCACCTTGTATTTGGCTTACGTTTTATAATATGGTGCTTAAAAAGATTTGGCATGTTTGAGAAATGTTTAGAGTTCTATTAAATAACATTAATCTTCTGTAATAAAATAATAAATTGAGATCAATGTTGGCGATGTTAGTTTATACTTGCGTTTTTGTCTCATATTTTAAAATTGTATGCCCACTTGTAATGAATCCTTGTAAATTCTTTCAGGGCTTTGTTATAGTTTGGGTCGCAGGAACTTAGTATGCTATTTATCCAGATAATGTTAAACATAAACCTTTGGGTAAACATAACTTTTTCTCATAATGAACGTTTTAGCACTACATTTTGTATATTTTTCAGCAAATACTTTTATACTTGGTCTGCTAATTCTGAAATGGTTTAATAATAAATCTAAATTACTACACAATTCCTCACACAACGTTTTTGAAGAGAAACTTTGTAAAGGAGGGTATAAATTTGGCAGAATCTTCTATACTCTTTCAGAAATAAGGTACCCTTAACCAAAACATCGTGCAAATCTGCCGCATGAGCTATATTTTATATTTTTATAGGTATCACGAGCTATATACACAAGTTCAATTTCTAACAGAGCAACAAAAAGGAAAATGGTTAATTAATATGAGCTATACACACAAGCTCAATTTCTGACAATGTAACCAAAAGGAAAATGATTAAGTAAGATGAGCTACGCAAGCTCTAACAAATATTATAAATTATATTATCTAAGAAGTAAAGTGACCTCCAGTTCCTATAAATGGAGCGTTTCAGATATTCATACGAAATAAATATTAAATATAGATTTAATTTATTGGATAACATTTGTTTATTCGTCTTCTGTTGAATTTCCGCAAAAGAAACTGCTCGTTTACTTCATAGTGACAGGATGCAATGTATCGAACTTATTTGCTTATTAAGATAACTTAATGGCTTTTGCCTTTTTTTATTTTAGATGAGAAAGTATCATAAAATAATGATATAGATACAGAGCTCAACGTGAATTTAGTTACGCGTGGGCTAAACCATATCGTCACATGAATCTCTTAGAGTCACTTGATAAGATGTTGCTAACTTTAAGCAGAAGCTACGTTGTCTCTTGAAGCTAATCATTAATTGTTATTGTTCGTGCAAAATAGCGGTCAATTTCATTTTTTTTGGATCTACATCTGAATCACAAACATTTATTGTATTTTCTAATTAAATATAATTAATTTAATATGCTAATAAAGTAGATATGCCAAAAAGCTCAAAATATGTTTACTACTGCCGCATAAAAATCACTTTTTTTTTCTCCATCTTTACTCAAAGTTTCACTTCCGTTCTGTCATTCTTTAGGCACGCATTTTTTAACGTTTGATTTAATTGGGTACTTGCACTTCAGGAAGAAGACCTCCGATACCCACACATGTGGCCTATGACGTCAGCGCCAGCTAATCTTTATCAGCAAAATGACGTATTAAAGTTGAACTAACTTAATCTTCATAAGTTAGAATGTTAAATAACGTGAAGTTAATTAAATACAGAGCCGTATCGCGTTTCGAATGAGTTGAAATATAATTCTTTCTCCTTTACTTAATTTAGATTTATTATTTGTTTATGTATTTTATTGTAACCGTGATACATTTTTGTTTTGTGTACCTGGATACTTTGATGCGTAATTAGTTTGTTTATGTTCCACGTGGGTTCGTGCTTGTCTTTGTATAAATATGCAGTGAAAGAATTTAAATTTTTGAGAAAGAATCTTGGCGAATGAATTTCGAATGTGTCACTTACGAGAATTGATACTTGACGAGATTGGCTTACTCGAAATAGAATGGAAAGAACGGTTGCTAATGTAAAAAAAGTGGCACGTTTCAACAACCAATCAGAGTCGAGATACTCACACTACGTCACTTGCTGGTATCCTTTTGTCACTTTAGTACTTTTGAATAAATTGTTTTGATCGTGCGGCTGTGCGTATAGCTCTCATAGAATTTTTTGTTTCATTCTAAGATGAAAAAAAATGTCTGTAACTACCATATATAGATATAGCTAAAAGTATGTAAGATAGGATATTAATATTCTCTTTATCAAAATAGAGTGGATCGGAAGTACTGCTTCGAAATGCTTATAACAGGGGTTCTTAACCTTTTTTTGTTTAACCGCGATCCAAAATCAGATACTCCGAGCGACCCAAAGATTTATTTTTAAATACATATATTTAGTAGACATTGAATGCAACAAAATTGTGAGGTTATATGATAGAGAGATGAAGCAATCATGCGTAGAATTTTGCTCCTTGACTTAAGTACAACAGAACAATCATAATTTTCAAACCACTCAGAACATGCGCAGTACGGAAATCAATTAGAGCATGAATACAAGTACATTATTTTCTTTTTGCAAAAAAGCTTTTAAAAGAACTTTAAACAATAGTTCTGAGTGATTTATACCTTATATAACTTCTTACGGAAGTATCACATATCTGTTTAATCATATTTTAAAACCAAAAAGCGTTCAGTTTAAAATAAATAAAATCTAAATCTCAACTTTTATTTTCTGAAATGTTTCGAATTTGAGTCGTGATTTACAGGTTAAGAACCCCCTGTCCCCATATAATAGTTTTGCTAGGCTTTAGAAAGTATTGAAAATCGAAAAAAGTGCTGTTTAGAATGTTCATATGTTTTGTTCGACTATGCAATTGGGTGGAATGAGTAACCAGTTGCAAATTCTATACAGTCACGTCGTAATGGTTTGTTCATTTGAATCTTATGTTCAAGTAAAGAAGTTTGCTTGTTCTACCAGACAAGTTTTGTTTGCACCTTGTAGATCAATTCTTTTGGAAAAATTCCTCTGTCCTTTGATCTCCATGCTTGGCCTTCTTGTTGTTCAAGATATCGAAAAGGATGAAATATAATTGGTTCATTTTGAAAGTATTGGGACAGTATGAATAAATAAATGTGTTGAAGACGATCAGTATTCTTTGTTAATCAAATGCTTATCTCTTCATTGCAGCTCAATCATTCGGGAAGAGCTTTAAATATTTTTCGTTTTTTAAAATTTGACACACGAATCCACATGATTAGATAGTAAGAAGTTTTTAATTTTCGAGGTAACTTTACTGTACTGTAGTTACGATGGAAGAGGCCTTAACAAGTTTCGTAAACTATTCGAGTACATAAGATCATAAATAACTTTTATTTTCCAAGGCAACTCTAGAATATAGCGCTTGTTTGCATTTGGTAATTCATTTATGTTTATTATTCCTTCAAGTTTGATGTTCTAGCTATTTATGCCAAAGAGACGATAAGTAACTTTTTTTTCACCTTTGAAGTGCGGAACTAATTTGCATCTGGAAGTTTCGACAGATAAGGAAAAATATACCTTGAAGTTCGCAAGCTAGTTAAGTACATGAAATGAGAAGTTACTAATGTGCTTCTGAAATAACTATATAATGCTCACCCGCATCAGCTATCTTAATTCGAAGATTCTTTGTTCTTAATTTCGATATTCGAGCTGATAAAATGATATAAAATACTGGTTCATTTTCGAGGTAACACCATCTTACAAAGCTCATCTGCATCTGGCATGCCAGATCAAATATTCTCTATTCTTGAAGTTTGTCATTCGAGGTGCTGGAGAAAATAAAATGATAAAAAACTGGTTCATTTTCGAAGTAACTCCATTATACAACACTATCTTCATCTGGTTGTCGATTAAAAGATTCTTTTCCTTCCTGAAGTTCGATATTTGAGTTTTTCTCGATTAGATTAGAGGATGATAAAAAAACTAATTCATTTTCGAGGTAACTCCACCATACAAAGCTCATCTGCATCTGGCATGTCAATTGTTGTGGAATAGTTTAGAGATTCCTTGTTCTCTAAGTTTGGCATGCTAGCTACCGGAGGAGATGACATGTGAGTCATGAGGGGAGATTCTCGCAAGCTGTCGAAGCTACAAGATTCTGTAATTGTTGGAAGAATTCTTTTAGGGACAGGTCTTCCATCACTGCCGTGCCTTGTAGCAGTTTTGCCACTCATGTCCCCAGAAGTATCCTTCTCCTGTGATCGTTTGGATTGTGACGAGGCGGAAGGTCTTGACTGAAAAAAGAACGAAGACATTTTGTCACTAGCTGAGCCTGTGCTAGATCGCCTTCCTGCTTTGCTGTCTTTCTTTGGCCATTTTTTGGGGGATGAATCGCTTTCTAAAGTCAGTTTGTCTTCCATTTCTTTATTGACTTTCACTTTGGCAAGAACACGTCTGACCTTAGCAGCGAAAGATTTGTTTATGGGAACATCATCGGCCCTGTAAAAAATTAAAAGGAAGAAGTAATAAATGCATTTCTACACATTGCAATATCAATGTATTATGATGGTAAGTTAACATCCATAATAATAATAAAAGAAAGAGTTGCGTCTCTTACAACTCCGATACCTCTTGTCAAAGCTCCCTGGACATCGGATGCAAGGGTTAATTTTAGCCTAATATCAGGTAAAGATGGCATTGCTTAGTTTGTTCGGAAGAGACGTTTTAAAAAGGATTTGATTTTTAGCATCAGAGAATAGAGAGAGTTCGTAGTCTGGCATATCATCCTGCACGCTCCCGTACGTAAGTTGATTTTTGTAACTATGCGTGCTCGACGTTGTAAGTAAAGAAAAGACTATTGCGGTGCAGGATTTCAGTAATCATCCGAGGATGCATATAGTTCCGTTTTATTCAGCTATCAAACTGTGTGAATATGCTTTCAAAACAATCCAAAAGCTTTTAAAAGTTAAACTCGTCGGACAGAAATTTAGTTCGTGCTATTTTTTGTACGCAAAAAGGCCATGCTACATCATTTCAAGAATTGGCGATGTTGATATTCGTCCGTGCTTGGTGTCTTGGTGTTTGCATCCATTTAGCGTGTATTTTACGAACAGGCTCTCTCAATAGGGTTAAAGTTTTTTCTTAACTTGCAACAGAGGATAGTACTTTTTTTTAACGTTAACAGTGGACACTTTACAGACACTATGGGTGCACACGCGTAGTTTTATCCAAAAATTAAAGTAAGTGAATAGAACGTTCGCCTTTAATGAAGTGAACTTGGTTCGAATCCTAGCGATGACTGGTCGATACAATCTCGCTCCGACCACAGTGCTGACGTGATAGACGGGTCATGGGTTATAGACCTTACAGGTTTAAATCATTAATGAAAACACTTTTAAATGACAGTGACGGAAACGTTTTTTTTTTTAAATAAAAATATTTGTTAAGTTTACATTTGTGGGTAAATTTTCATGTCATCTATCATTTTAGTTTTAAATAATACAAGATTCATTACCTAATGTCAATAAAATATTTTTATTTCTTCGTGTAAGTGATGGTGCACACAAATGTAGTACGTCTTCAACACTAAATTTCAACGCCTTTAATGGTTTTAAAATTCAAATTAAAGTCTAATTTAAAAATGTTTTTCTTCATGTCATTAGTTTTAATCACACCGGTTTATTTAGTTACTTATACACTTTGATCGGAAGTAGCCCATTACTAGTAGTGAAGCTACTGTAGTCGCTTCTTTTTTTCGTGCTTTATAGTGTAGTGTGCTACTTTTTTTTAAAAAGGTAGTGTAGTGAGTAGTGTGATACAAAAAAATAGTAGTTTGTAACGATTCCTGGCAATTACTTTTAACATTAGTTTAGTACATGAACAGGGTTCTAGCGAAACTAATTTTTCGAATTTGATGGGTACAAATCTTTGAGGGTCTGTCAAAAGACGCACTTTTAAATGACAGTGAGTCAACAAGAATTGCGTATTTAGTGTCACGTATAATTAATATTTAAACTAACCATTAATGAATGATCACAAGCGAATGTACACTCTTGAAACAGTGATGTTATTTCAAAGGAAAGAACCCTATTTTCGATGCACTTCATTTCTTAGAGGAAGTGAAAGAGCATTAATCACTTCACGAAATTGAAAGTATTTGATAAATTAAATAATCTCTGTCAAGAAGGGCATAAAAAGTTGAAGACTAAAGGAACACATTCGAAAAAAAATGTTTTAGAATAACAAAATGGCTCATGTAAACATGATTAAACATTTCTAAAAAATAGTTCTTTATGTTTAATATAAGTCAATTTTTTATTCGAAACCCTTTTAAACGTTATTGTGTGAATTAATTTCTCCAGTAGTGTAAATTAATTTATCTTAGTAACATTATATCTTAGTAATACAGTTCTGTTTCAGTGAAAAATATAGTTGCAAGAGACAACTTGTACAAGATAAATGTACAAAGGTATATTTTCATCGATTGAAGAAGTGTCCCTAGTGTGAAACGGATAACCAAGATGAATGGGTAACAAATGGTTGCAGAAAGGTTAGAATCGAGATAATAGAGTCTCTGTTTTTGGAATGTTCACGAACATATCTTTTGGTTGAACGACCCATAACATCCGCCTCAGAGGTTCAATAAATTGGATAAGGCAAGAATTATTTCAATGACACCGACCGGTGTTGTTCCTCAAATGTGAGAAGTTTCAGACATTCAACAATTCATTATACAGATTTTTTCCTGTTTTATTTCTTTTACGAACAAAGAAATAAAATAGAATTGTTTTTGAAAATATCTATTCTATTATCACTCTTTCAGAGGATTCAAACATTTTACTTCAATAACTTGTTAAACGTTTTTATTTTGTCCTTATCTGAAACAGTAATAAAACTGCAATATAATTTTGTCACTGTTGAACATAATGGATGTGGTACTATACACAAGAGTTTGAGTTCTTAAAGTGGGTGTTGCTGCCCCCAGAAGGCGCTGAAAACTTTTAGTGGTGTTAGGACTTTCTAGAGGACCAGTTACGGAAAAAAAATATTATTAAACATCGAGTACACTTTAAAACTAATAATTTTGTCTTGATTTGAAATTAAAAAAAAATAATGAAACTTTTACTTTTTATTCATCTTTTACATAATGTTACGATAGTTTTTTTCTAATAATAAATTGTTTAAACATTGTTTTGCTTTCTACCTTCGTTTGTTTTGCGAATTATATAGTTTAGTATCTCTTTTCTGCAATTATAATGCAATGATGAGTATTGTATAGCGTTACATTGTTGTTTACATCATTAGTAAAGACTTTTGAAACTTAAATGTTCTCTTTTTTCCTAGCTACGACTTGAAAGTTACCTAGTATAGACCAGTTTTTATTTTATTACCGTAGTTGAACAGCTGACCTAATTTTGAGTTTACGACCACTGATTTTCAACTCCGTAGCCTTGTAATTTTGAGCTCAATCCAGAAGACATGGGAACTTCTGGATCAAGTTTTGGGAGAAATTTACCTCCGTGGAGGAATTTTTGATGGAACCAACCCTCATTTCCTCCTGGTCGGTGGAGCTGAAACTTGGTAGTCTTAAACTCAAGAACTGACGACGGCAATAAAATAAAACCCTATTAGGACGGCGGAGGAAGAAAAAAAGCACTTTTCCAGGTCCACACGTACTAATACGAAGTTCTATTGGTCTAGGGCTGCTAGAGTAGGAATGACTCATAAATAATACACTGAGCAGAAGCAGTCACTGGGTGATTCAACTCATCATAATTTGGTTCGACTATTACCTTAGTTGGGATTCACTGAAACGACGAGGCGAGGGTGGATCTTCGTAATGAATGTTCGGGGAGAGGAAATTATTTTGAGTCTTTTGGACTGCCAATCGGAAGGGTAGTCCAACTTCGACGCTAGAATGACGTCTTATCTTGGGATGTTTCTTGGTGGTCGCTGATGATGTTTCGATGGCCGCCAGATTCAGGTTGGAAGGAAATTCTACCAGCCACATGTCTTCCTCTTCAAACTTCACATCCGGACTCTGCAAAAAAAAAGTCTCTTAACTAAACAAGTTCTTAAAATATAGCTATAAACATGTATTTGTCTTTTTAAAATATATTGGATTAAAATATGTTTCGGTGTTTAACCAACGCTACTTTAATATGTTATTAATTCCTAATGATGATCCGAAGGCAACACTGCACGATACCGCAATTCAAATCAGAGAGTGATGGTGGAAGCAAACACACGGCCTTCGCACCACGCTCCCCAACCACCCAACGAGGCTCGGATATCACGGGTACTGAAATTATCGGAGACATTATATTAAGGTGAATTCGGAACCACTAAACCACGATTGAGGGAAGTACAGAGATCCATTCTCTAGCACAGGGAATCGAATCCTGGTCCAAGTCCTGAAAGGAGAAGGCTCAATTTACCACTTTGGCTGTGCAGTCAATATAAGTTTGGAAAATAGTAAGTTTGTAAAATATTTCACTATGTTTAGAAAACAATGAATTTTTTGACATCTTTTATATAAGTTTGTAAAATAAGTCAAACCTTTAAGATTGAATTTTGGAGCGTGAAGATCCGATCATTAGATCAAAAGTTATTCAGGCTAGTCCGTTTTTTATTTTGTGCACTGAAATAAGGTTTAAATTCATTGTAATTTTGATAACGTCTCAAAATGAACCATATTAATTAAAAGATTAACCATATTAAAGAACCATATTAATTGAAAGTTTAACCATATTAAAGAACCATATTAATGAACCATATTAATTCGAAACTCCATTTAGAGTTGGATTAGTTTAAGCAATTCTAAGGAAATGAGAATATTATAAACGCATTAATGCTGTTTTTCGAGGCTCTGTCGCCAAGGAAAATAAAAAAGAAAAGCCATAGTACCTTACACTTGAAGCTATGCAATGCTTTTAAACTATATATTTAATAGTGGACTTTAAAACAGACAAATAATTTAAATATTTTAAAAGTTATTAAACTTTTTCAAAAATCGCCAATTTGGTGACATTTTTTCCCCTGGATGAAAACTATCAAAATCACTGCCTTATTCTCAGTTTTTGCAAATTTTTACGAACCCAGATAATGCAGCATTGGAGTAAATTTTTAAATATTAAAAAATTGAACTATGAACGCTTTTCATTTTCACAAAACTGTGGCTTTTCTCCATAGTGTCGTTTTCGCCATTTTCTAAATAAGCACGTTGACTTTAGATAGACTAAACTTGATCTCATGAGTAACAGTTGCAAATTCAAATTAGTTATAAAAATAACATATTAATCTAAAAAATAACATCATTTTATATTACGACGGAGCTTTCGAAAAACAGCCTAAATAAGGGATGCTGAGTACCAAGTCTGGAGATGAGGGTGACTCTGCTGAATCTCCAGATGGTCTGTTTGCAGGAGAAGACTCCTTCGCTGGTGAAATGGTGAGTTTGATCTCTTTTGGACGTGCTACTTCTTTTTGATCCACCTATAAACAAAAATAAGTACTTATTTTGACAAACTTGATTACATTTGTTACCAGTTTTTCTTTTCAATACAAATTAGGATTGGAATACTGAGTGCTTCTCAGTTACACGGGCCATGAAAGCACAAGTTCGTGTTTGAACGACGCTGCTTTACATAGTTCACAGGCTACCGATGTAACACGTTGGAATATAAGATATGGCGATTATGAACTATAACAAAACTTATCGAATACAATAGTATCGCGACCGTTATCGATTCAAACATTTCTCACGTACGATAATATTGTGCCCTTAGCGATAATATAATAAATACATCGAGAAGATAATTTGGCGAATATTATACGTAATGATAATTATTGAATGCTTTTTTTTTAATTTTTAGAAGTATCGCTTGATACGCTGGAGTGTGCAAACACTCCACGCAAGCATACTGGGAGAATAAACATTGAACATAAATTAACATTTAATTAAACATGCGACATGAAAACATTAAGAGATTATAAACGAAAACATTTATAAACAAACATTATTGAATGTAACAACTGGGAAAAACATTGGCCAAGTAACGGTTACTTTAACCGATAAGTGCCTAATTCAGAGTACAAGAGCCAACAGAGCATTCACCTTCCAATGAGGTGAACCGGGTTCGAATCTCAACGATGGCTGATTGATACTAATTCCGCACCCGGCTCGCGCCAACCTCAGTGAAGGCGGAAAATATTCTCAGCGGTAGAGGGATTATGGGTTGGAGTTCCCTTGCCATCAGGCTAACCGAAGGACGTTTTCCTCTCCGTGTAACGCAGATGCGGGTTAGTTCCATTAAAGAGTCCCCCACCCAATTAGACAAATTTCACCTAATTCTTGAAGTTTCCTTGTCTTCTGGATTGGGGTAAAAATTACAAGGCTATTAGTAGTCGTAAACCCAAAATTGGCTCGACTGTTCAACGACGGTTATAAAAGAAGAAAGAAATCAGAGTACAATGTGTGGCAAATTAATGCCGAGAGCTGAGATAACAGTTCTTGAAAATATAATCTGAATTACATATCCGCATTTATGTTTCGAACTAATCACCACCTGCTCTTCTGTACTCTGCAGCGAAAGTTCTAAAAACACCTCTTTAAGTCCTTCCACGAAGTATTCTTTAATGTCTTCAGTAATTTTAAACCTCGTTCCCTTAGTAAGTTTTTCTGTTAAGATGTACGCATGTTCCAAGAGATGTCTGAAGAGTTGGGCGAATCATTTCCACAACCCCCTAAACCAAAAAGATGCAGGTTAAAAGATGTTGAAGACATTAAGAACGTCCCAAATTGAAAAACATTAAAAAAAAAAGACGTTAGAAGTTGGTTCTAAAATTTTTTACAATTTTCTCTAATTGCTCTAAAATGAAAAGTTGTTTAATAATCTAACTAAACCATTTACTAAAAGGAACAAGGTTCAAGGTTTTCGAAGTCATTACGGGGACACAACACAGTTACATTTTCAAAGAACATTATTGCAATTTTTTTATTCCTTTTAAGATTATTGTACCAAATTATTGATTTGATTTTCGTGAAAATGTAAAAGTTAGTGCATAATATGTCAACGCGACGCAGAATGCGCTGTGACATGTATGAACAAGTAAACTTACATGCTCAGTTGATAAATTCAGTTGATAAATGGATTATCAAAATATTTTTGTGAAATACAATCATTTTTACTACTTTATTGAAATAATTTGTTTAAATTATATAAGAAAAATATTGAATGGTTACTTTGAATACAAATAACTGAAATTATAAGTTACGTAATCATTTTTAATGAAGGTTGCAAAGGAACAAATAGAAATAAATGAAGGCTCAGCAGCTAATGAATATGCTCGAAATGAAGATGACTACTCTAAAAGCATATGAAGGTAGACAGGCAAGAAAAAGGGTTAAACTAGCACTTAAGAAAGCTTAAAACTATGGCATCTTATGAGTCTAGTATTGATGAATTACTTGCAATTGTACATTTTTGTATATGGATTATTGATCACAAAAATTTAACGCCATTTCTTCGGAACTATGTTTCTCTTATTTGCTGTATCTCTAACTAGTACAATTTTCAACCGATTTACTTCAAATTTTGACACAATGTTTACAATAAATATAGTTTTCAATGCAAGTAGAATCCCTACGAATCCCCAAAATTTTAATTCGGTTGACTGGTTTTGAGTAATCCAAGAAAATGTCATTTATTTTTAGGTCTATTTAAATTTTTTTTCAATGCACTATTTTGTAATAAAAATCTTTTGTGCCGCGAAAACGATATTCATGTAGTTTAAAAAAAATAAAAACGAAATCAAATTTGGATGACTTTTTCAACTTATGCTTACAGCATAAGTTATTATTAATTTAATAGAATGAGTAATAAACATTGTACTATACAAGCACTAATTTTTAAAATTTTGCATTTATATCATGATAAAATGAAGATTAAAATAAGTACAACAAGATAAAAAAAAATGTATTAAGTTTATCACAATTACTGCAAAGTTTATTAAAATATCCTTCTTTTTTCAGGCTTACGAAGAGCTTCAAAGTTTTTTCTTAAACTTTTATATTATTCTAATAAGTTGTTCTAAAAATGATGTCAATTTATATGCTGTAGGAACATGGTTTCAGAATGGCGAAGTCATTAAGAATGTCAGAATTGAACAACATTCCGAGCTAACACTTTAAAAGGTGTTTCTAAAATCTTTACACCCAAGTACAGTGGCACATTATGACAGGTGGAGGTTTCTTCGAAAGATATTAAATTGGCATGTAATCCAATAGAATATTTTCAAGAGTTATTTGATCATTTCTGAAATTATAGCCGCACCTAGAAAAATGTAGAGAGTTGTTCAAATCTAATAAAAACCGCTGACCTCTTGCAAATCTAAAATTCGATTTTAACATAGGGTGAGTTAAATATTTTATTTCTAATAATATGGTGAAGATGTAGGTTCTAAGGAATTAGGCAGCTTCAAAGTTCAGATATTGACAGAAAATGAAGATCGAGTTTCGCCTTTATTTCTTATCAGTGAGTTATATATCCGCAAAATTTATAAATCAATACCACTTATTTTAACTGATCGCTTTTGTACTCTTCGTACTATGGAAAAACGCGCCAAGGGCAAAATCATTTTTTTAATCCTCTTTTATGGACATAAATTGGGGACGGGATAGCCTATTCGTTAGGATATTGGGCTCATGTTCGTGAGAAAGTGAGTTCGAATCCCACGGACCGAAGAATACCCGTGCATTAAATGGTGACTGGTGCGGGTTAAATCTGTCGGGGTCACAAAGTCCTCCAAGTTCCCATAACAAATCAATAACTCTGGAGGTACTGAACTGGAGATTGATCGTTCTCTGGTTAAGATCAGGCTAATATTAAGATTTGTGAATGAATGAATAGAGTATGATTGGATCCTTCCTGTAAAATGGGCTGTGACGTGTGTGTGTGACTGAAGTCGTATTCTTGGCCTCAGATTGCACAACTGGAAAAAACAGAAACTCACCCGATGCCTTAAGAATTCACTTGATTTTCCAAGCAGCCTTGCTGGTATTGGCAAGTGGCAAAAGTAACAACAACAACAAAAACATAAACCGCTCTTCTCCCTCGGTCTTCACATGTTTCCAGATAAAACTAATTTTCCAGTCCTGTGCATACTGCTGATGTGAAAAATTATTGTGAACATAAAATTTCGGTACCCATTTTCATAAAATTTACATAGTCTTCCAAATTTACAGAGTCATTTCAATTGGATTTTCGGGCAATACATAGCATGGAATTGAAAAAAATATGTATATGCTTTTGAGTAATTTTGCACTTCAGTTGATTTTTACAAATAACCCTTCAGTGCTTCTATCGATAGATTCTAGAACTTTAACATAGGAAATCTTCCCTTTTTTTCTTCAAAAAACATTTTTCTCTATTAATTCTATTGCAAACCATTCTCAACACCCATCCAATATAAATTTTGCTTTGCTGAATTGATTTGTATTTTTATGAATGACTATTTTTTATTCCTTTTTTTTCATCCTATAGTAAGCATTTAAATATTATCAATATAGTATTTATATGGATGGTGTTTTCTACACCAGGGTGCGCTTCAAGTTCTTTACAGCCCATACTTCGTGGTTTCCGATGTATTTTGAAGCCATTTAGGCTCATAACGTGATCGTTGCTGTTTTCAAACTCTCCTGAGTAGCATTTTTTTGTAAACCTGTATGTCTTACCCGGTTTATTATTTGTGTTCAAAAAAAAAAAAAAAGAATCGTTATAATAATAGTCATTCATGTCTTTTCAAGATGTAAGAATCTTCATTTGAAAAACAGAATCGTTATAAAAAATTTCTTACCTTGTTAAGAATATAACTTTGAAATTTAAACCTAAATGATAATTTGTAAAATCAACTTAGTCTCGCTGCTTGAGCAATATCCTAACACTAACGCATGATTTTGCTCGACTTGCAACAAGAACAGCAATAAATAAGGAAAAAGAGGCCAAATCAAAACAGCCAAAAAGCGAGTTCTTTCTAAATCTAGCAACCATGACACTTTTTGCTCACTTCAAACTCACCAGAATTACTTAATGTCACTGATATCTTATGAAATACAGCAGATTTGAGCTCAGAAATTATATTATGTATTTTTTTAATTAAAAACAAAATTATCTGTTTGGAAATATCGCCTCGCAGATTGAGCTGTAGTAAGCAGCTGTATACTTTTTAACCGAAAGTAGAGCAGGTCAAGAGATCGAGATTGTTGTTGTTTAATTGAAACACCATCACATGTTCAATTGAAACCACATTGAAAACACCATCCATTGTTTTACTACCATTTTAAGTAAACATCTATATTTTTACAATTTTCCTTTCTTAATTTGAAAACCTTTCTCACACTTTATGAATAAAAAAACTTATTTCGCTTTACCGAACTAATTTTTTTCTGAGAGCTTTAGGAACAAATCTAGAATAAATATTAAACAACGGAGCAG